GATCTCAGACTACCTACAGAATGAAATTCTGCCCCTATTGCAGCAAATGTAAGTTTTGCCATTGATTTCACTGAGGGCAGAATTACAACCTGAATGTTTAAAGACATTCTGTTTTGTGATAGTTAATTTTAAAAGTCCACAAAAACTCAAACCCCTGTGTTAGAGGAGCAAGCAGATGATAAATGTCAAGAGAAATTACTGTGTGGCACTATAATGCACTCAGTATCAAAAGGTTTATTTTGCACATTGGGTACATCTGTCTCAAGCAAATATTTCTAGTTAAAAGCAGTCCAAAGCAATTTCTGTTATATGTATTTCAAACACATCAAGTCCAACAAGCCATACACGAGCATTTGATTAAAAAATGACTTCTATTTACCTCTTGGCACAAAGTTTTTCCAGGCACTCTTCAGATGTTACCATGCCTGCAGTTCAGCATCACCTGTAACTATGTTTTGTCTGTGAAGGGTCAGGCAAGTCCCCATTTCCTAGGATTGCACAATTTTTCTGGTTTTCTTTTTAATATTACATAACAATAATATTTTAAAAGATAATAAAACTATGCCAAGTGGAGAGGAGAGAGACTGTTTACCCTTCTTGGCAGACTCCAGTTGTTCATAGGTGGTGGCCGGAGCAGAGATCATGCTGGGGTATCGCACAGAGTGGGAGCAGCTAGTGATACTTAATAGATCAGTGATTTGTGGACCTGCTGTAGAAGAAAAAAAAGGTAATTTTGAATGTCCCTTGGTCTGCATTGGAGGTCTTTCCAGTACTGTACTGTATTTACCTAAAAGCCATTGAACAGGGGGAGGGGGAAATCCACAGACATGTGAATGCTGCATGTGTATATACAATGTTTTTTGTTTCTTTTCTAAATTAATTAATTTCCAGCCCTTTAATTGGCCTTTCATAGCTGTCTGTTTTTTATACTAACCTGAAGTTATCCTAGCCTCCCTCATCGCCTGTCTGGCTGCTTTTACATTTTTAACCTGATGTGTAGAGCAGTGGTCTCCCAGCATTTTTAACCACAAGATCACTTTTTTAATTTAAGTGCAATGTAAGATCTACCTCAAACCCAAATACCCTTGCCCTTCTTCCTTCCGGCCTCTTCTCTGAGGACCTGCCCCTGCTCCACCTGTTCTCTGAGGCCTCACCCTGTGCACTCCATCTCCTTTCCTCCCCCATCCTCACTCACTCTCACCAGGCTGGGGTAGGGGGTTGGGGCACAGGAGTTGGTCTTGGGCCAAGGGATTGGGAGTGTGGGAGGGGCTCTGGATTTAGCCTAGGGTGGGAGATTGGGGTCCAGGTGGAGTTTATGGGTGCAAGCTCTGGGAAGGAGTTTGGGTGCAGGGGGACTAACTTCTTGGTATAGGAGGAGGTTCAGGGCTGGAACATGGGTTCAGGAAGCAGGCTCTGGTTGGGCACCATTTAACTGAGATACCTTCTGGGTGGTGGAGCAGCGGGCTTCAGGCAGGTTTACTCGTGCCCTGGCCCTGCACCACTCTTGAAAGCAGCTGGCATGTACAGCAATGGCTCCATGTGCTGCCCCTCATCTACAGGCACTGAGCCCACAGCTTCTACTGGCCACAGTTCCTATTATTGACCAATGGGAGCTGCAGGAGCGGTGTCTGCAGGCAAGGACAGCATGTGGAGACCCCCTGCTCTGCCTTTCTCAGGGGCTGCAGAGACATGCCAGCCACTTCCAGGAGTAGCAATTACCACAGGGATAACTACTCCAGCCACGACAGGTTAGGCATTTTAGAACTCAGTACTCAAAGAATTAAATGTAAGCGTAAGAAAGAAATGAAAATTATGAAATGTACAGACCAGCCACAGAACCAAAAGTAACGCACTTTGCAAGCAGTAAAAGTAGTAACAACCCGAGAGTGAAGAACAGTGTGTGTTTGTGAGAATGGCAGAGTGAAAGAGATTCATATTGCCAAGCTCCCGCCACCCCCTTCTCTCTGTGGAAGTGGAGGGGAGGAAGGATACCCTGATATCAGTGTCCTCCATTTCCTCCCTCCCATGCCCTGCACAGCAATCAGGAGGCTCTTAGGGGGGAAACTCTAAGGCAGAGGGCAGGAGCAGCATGACAGTGGGTCAACTGAAGTACCAGCACTTGATAGCTTTCCAGCCAAACCAGTCAGGATAACCTGTCAGAAGCTGCAAGATCTACTGGTAGGTGACCACTGGTGTAGAAGCTATCATTCTCAACCTTTAAAATAAATCTTCTATTTCTTTTGTGAAGGAGTCACAGCCTCTGATTTATTACAGTTCTTATTCTGTCATCTTCCTTGACCCTACGTCCTCTCTGCATGAGGACAGTCAAACCAGTGCTACAAGGGTAGCACTGTTTCAGCATCAGTTCTGAAGCTGAAGTGACAGCTGAACTGGATGCCTTTGGCCCAGCATTCTATGGGGGGAGCAGTAACTGTTCACTCGGCAGATTGAGTGAGGGTATCTTTGAAAGGTCTCTGTCACAGCTACCAGTCTGCTCAAAATGTCCTGCCACTTTGGAGTTCCATACTGGAAGGTACACTCTACAGCCAGAAGCACTGGGCTGGCATGGAGCCTTCATTTGGAAGAGCAGTTCAGTTCAAGGAACAGCAGTGAGTGATAGACACTGAAAGGAAGTTAATTTATTTTACTTTTCTTATTTCTCTGAATGAGGCACTGACTCAGCTGAACTGCTACACTACACTTGATGGGAGAGGGTTGTTGACGTGTGTGTGTGGGGGGGGGGGCATTCCTCCTATTCTGTCAGGGAGTAGAATTCCTTGAGAGAAAGGAAAGGTTGCTATCAGCACAGAAGAGTGCCTATTCCAATATGGGTATCTGCAGAACACTGAAAAGAGTGGGTTCATTGTTTCTTATGTCTTATAATGTCCACAACCTTGTGGAGGAGTTTGTTGTAAAACTTTTTCTTGAAAAGAACTAAAGAACTATATTTCAAAATTGGTTGAGTCATAAACCTGAAAATGCAAACTCTCTTATTGGCAGAGTTGAGAGGAGTGCGCAGAATCACTGCTGTTGAGAGCATGCAGATCCACACACATTTGTGCTAGAATGAGTGCAGGCAGGGTTGTACTCTCATTCATAGTGAATTGGGTCTATGCTTTCATATTTTAAATGTTGTAAAGAGGGCTTTCCTGAAAGCTGAAATTCTTTCTGAAGAAGTCTGAAATAAGTGTTGGAGTAGATAAATGTTAGGAGAGTATTTTAATCCATGCTTTTGCTCTATCTGTATATTATTGGTGTCCAATAATTAGCAGATTAAACCCTTAGGAAAGTCTCTCGGCTCTGACAGTAAATTGAAATCTTAAAAAACACACAAAACAAATAAATTGCTCTGTTAATGTAATTTTGATGCTTTATTAAAGGAACTTGGATTGTCTAAAACGGCTTGCCTGACTTAATTCTGTGGTCAGGTTTTGCTGAAGCAAAACTTGTTAAGGACTCAGTGTAGAAGATGAAAATATCCCTAGCGCTTCCCCAAAATAGTTTTTTCAGGATGAAGGGTCATTCTTACCTGGATCCTCTTCTAATGTTATGAGTAGGATGGCCTGTACCTATTTTAAATGGTTTTTTTATCTGTTAAAAACATACCTTCTATAAAACTTGAAGTTTTAATAAAATGTAAATACCAGAAGATAGGTTTGATACATACTGGCTCCTTTCTTGACAGTTTCTGGATGCTGTTAAAGATTCTATAGCATGTTTAGAAAAGAATGGTGGACGACCTAGGTATTTCAACCAAAATATTTCTCCCATACAGTTCATGCATGGAAACATTTTGAAACTTAAGTAGAAGAGCAGAATTACAGGAGCAAACTGTTACAAAGATTCTTGGTCAAATAAAGTATTTTTCTTTTTATTTATTTTTTTTAGTTCAGTAGGCACTTCATCCTCATAGGCTTTTTTTTCCCAGTGGCAAACAATTTCCCATACTTTTTTGAAAAGGATAAAGTAAGCATGCAGTGTCATTACTCTTGCTGTTTTTGTTTTGGGAATGGTACAGTTCTGGCTCCTAATTAAGATATTTTTCAGAATCCATCCCTCCCCCACTTTTGTATGTTATGAGCACTTGAAAGCAGCTTACATTTAAGATTTGAGTGTATACATTTTTCATTAGTCAATGAGTACACTTTTGTGAGGTTTGCAAAACTTTGGTTTAAAAATGAGTGAGAGCCACATACTGTCCCTGAGAATAAACCACATTTCCTTTACTTTTTAAAAACATAGTTACATGCATCAGGTGCAGATGTGCGTGTGTGCATATACCTTAGGTATTTGCACGCAACTTTTGATTCAACAAACACTCCTTATGACCCTGCCAAAGCCTCCTTTCCCTGCAACCCACCCAGGAATTCCTCCTCTGCTAATTATGGAGCTGAATCACGTCTGATATATTTTATGTGAGAGGTAGATACAGTACACTAAATAGCATACAACTTCAGAGCATGCAAAGTCTGAATAGAATGTGTACAATCCAATTACACATGCTGTCTTGTATTTGTTTGTTTTTTAGACAGCATGTTGAGAGAGGCTTTTTGGCTCTATATAGTTAAACAGTGACAAGGTTTCTGTTTTTTGGAAAGGGAAAATGCAGTGCAAGAATAGAATGAATGTAGCATAGGAATTTGACATTGAAAACTCTTAGGCAGTTTTGAAAAGTTCAGCCTATATGCCTTAAAAATAAGTATGTCATATATAACATCAGATTTTCTCACATCATCCACGATTCAGATATTTTGGACAAACAAATGAAGGTATTAAAATTAGCATCATACAAAATACTATATTTTGACATTATTACTGTGTAATATAGTCAAATTATATTTTCTGTATGAACATAATGAATTAGCTGACCTTTTTGAATTTAAAATAGACACTGCAATGCATTAGATTCTCCTTTTTATTTAATTTTAGATCCACTCACACTAGGATGAGTCCTTGCTTAGCTCCTGAGAATGTTTGGTTTGCATGAAAATAAAACTGGACAGTATTCCTTAAACTGAACTGGTCTTGAACTCAGTCTTATGATGAATGTAGGATAATTGGCCAATATCACAGTGCTATGACATTAGCATATGAGAGAAGATAGTTTTTGTTCAGTACTTGCAGAAGCCCTAATTCTTGAGCACTGCACTGTTAGAATTAATTGTTTCTGAAGTAACAGATGATTTTAATTATAGTTGCAGCAGAAAACTGACACCCCACACATTTGATTTTCTTTTTAATTTAAAAATGTGTTTTTCTTTTCAGTATTAGACTGTGTAAATATAGTGAAAGCACAGACTGGGTGGAAACGAACACTACCAGCAGATATGTTCTGGGTATCTGGGCACCTATTAAGATTCAAAGTGAAGGAGAGGAAAACTGGCAGTGTTGTGAACACCAGTAAAGCAGAAAGCGCTAATGCCACTAGGTCTCAATACATACCCATCAATCTTGCTGGTCAAGGATCAATAAAAACTGAGCTTATACTTTAAAAGTACACAGAGAGAGAGTCCCAAACAGAAAGATTTGGTTATTATCTCCCTGCACAAGAAAGAAATTTCCACTTCTCATAAAGATTCAGAAGATGTGAATTTTTTTTTGCTTGCTTAATGTGGTGTGGATTAAATTGCACCTCTGACAATTGACAATATCACCTTCCTCCTCAATTTCTATTAAAGAGCCATGAAGAAAGTTGACACAAGGCCTAATTTTGAAGTTTGATTAGAATCCAGAAGAGCAAGGAAGTTCAGGCCTCTTCTGTCCCTGAAGATAAGTGAGTCAAGGAGACAGAGACAGAGAGTGTGTGTGTGTGTGTGTGGTCTCAGACCCTCTTAATCTACGTAAATCAGATCTTGCTTATTTTAAAACTGTCTGACACTTTAGTGCTCTGCTGACAATAGGTTTGATTTTTCTGGTTTGGATGTGTGTGTAAGGAGGAATATGATCTGGAATACAGAGGTAATGCCAATTTTATCAAAGGCAATAACATAACTCTCCATATAAAAGCATGTATTCAGCACAGCTGAGTGCTTCTTTGTTTCCCATGTCACAGTTCAAATGAGAACATGCCACAGCAGATTCTAGTCACTGATCACTAGGCTATTTTAGACCTTTATCTTCATAAGTACCTGCCCAGGAGCAACACCTGCTTTAGGGTTTAGTATTCTGTCTGCTCAGGAAAGTTGCCTACACTCTCCATCTTTAACATAAGGCTGCAAGACGCAAGAGAATTCCAGGTGAGCAAGCACTAGCGATTTAGGAATATCTTTGGGCCTTGGTAGCTGTTTGTTTTTTGCTTCAATCCCTCATTATAGGATTTTTAACATTTTAAGAATATCTGTCAATATGCCTTATTGCTGAGTTTGAACAAGGTGGAACAGGTGAGGAAATAATAGATTAATATAGGAAGCACTTAAAATGTGAATGGTTGGGAGGTTTTATAAGAAATGTTCTCTGCATGCTGGAATATTCCCTTACATCCTGTGGGTCGGGGAGTATGTGTGCAATAGTATGTAATGTGAAGGGCTTCTCCCGTTGACATAGCTACTGCCTTTCTGGAAAGTAGAGTGTACACACCAATGGGAGATGGTCTCCATCAGCATGTTTAATGTCTCAGCTAAACGCTACAGCAGTGCAGCTGCAGCCTTGTAAGTGTAGATAGACAGACGGTAAGAGAATGAGGAAAAAAACTTTTTTCTATGTCTTAAATTGTGTTTGTGCTGGCTGTAGTTCCACCTTAACACATCTAGCTTTAACCTCCCCAGCCCCCCGTATGTAAGCTGCCCAACCTGTTCAGGTTTAGCATGCTGAAACTAGCAGACTTCAGAATATATGCACTTATTGTCAGTTTCTCCTTTTTAAAAAAATGGCATTCATTAGCAATAAATGGTCTCTTGGAAACAGAAGAGGACTAGAGACAGAATTCCCTCAGCATTTGGATTAGTGAAATAGCTGCAATAGAACCCTGGCATGCTCATTTCCCCTCTGTGCTACTTGTCTGCATGTTACACCTAATACATAGGTGGTGGGTTTTCACTATGGGGAAGATACCTGCTTATGTAAACTGATGGTGCCATTATATATTAAATAGGTGGGTTGTGCTTGCTAAACAGATATCTTTTTGTCTTCCATTGCAGGATACATTGGTGTTCTTGCCAATCCAAGCTGAGAGAGTTATGTTCTCATAGGGCCTTACCCAAAGCCCAATGAAGACTCTCTCTGACCTCAGTGAGGTCCATGATCAGGTCCATGGGTGGTAGGCGAAGGTAGGGCTGAGGGAGGAAAGCCTCCAGCCCCGCCCCCACTCTGCTGAGCCCCTCCCCCAGCCATGGGGATGGAAAGTGAGCGGGTGAGCGTACGCTTGCCCCAGCCTCCCCAGCACCAGAGGAGGGAAGAAGGCATGCAGCACAACCCCAGCCTCCCCAGCACCGGAGGAGGGAAGAGGGCATGCAGCACAACCCCAGCCTCCCAGAGCGCTGGAGGAGGGCATGCAGTGCGGCCCCGGAGCACTAGGGAACGTGGAAGACACGCGGCGTAGCCCCAATGACAGAGCACTGGGGAGAGATGAGGCCATGCAGCTTTAGCCTCCCCATCCCAGAGCATGGGGAGGGCAGGCGGTGGGGGCAGTAACACTTCTCCCCCAGAATGTCTAGGCCAGGCGTTCTAGGGACAGAGTATGGGCAAAGCCATGCCTGGCAGTTTGGGAAGGCAGAGCCTTCCCCTGCCTAGGCTATTGGACACTCATGATCAGGTCTATGTCCAATAACTCCTCTGAACAAATTCTCTAGTATGTCATAGAGAAAGCTGTCCTGGGAAGAGGAAGAGGCAACTCTCTGTTCAGGGAGAGAGACCCTCCCTGCTGTTTTAAAATAGAGGCACCTGTATTATTTTGGCAGGCGACACCTCTTCAGTGGCAAACATAGCTGAAAGTGATGATGAGATGTATCAGCAGTCCAAATCTTCATCCCAGTTCATAGCTCTAGAGCAGAAGTTCCTAAACTGTGGTCAGTATTCCACAGTGCAATGTCTGATGACCCATAGAGAGGAGACTAATTCTGTGGAGCTGAGACTCCTGTTTCTAGCTGCTAAGTTTTACTAAAAAACAGCTAAGAAACTCATTAAATATTTTCTTAACGTTACTCTCCCACATAGGCAATTGTGTTTACCGCAAGGATGCTATGTGATCACAAATGGAAATGGGTGAAATAGGTGGGCCACAGAATCAGGACTGGGAGGGAAGGTGGTTCACAAGACATTCCTCTCTTATGATGTGGTCTGCATTTCCTGCCCTCTTTCCCCCAGCAATCAGTACCACTGATTTATAAGGCTGACATGATAGTGCAGAGATCTTGTTTTGTCTAGAATGTGTTTTTGTAATATAGAGCATTTTCTTTGAGATTTTTTAAACATGTATTCCCTTTGTAAAGCACCTTCAGCGTTTCTGTGTACTATTTTCTTTTCTATGCCACATAATATAACAAGTTGATCAGTGCTGTTTGCCATTAGCAGTGTTCACTGGCAAATGGATTAGGCTGAGTCTGAATCTGGACACATGTTGCTCCTCATGTTTGTTTGTTTTTAATGAATAAAAGTTTACCTGAAATTTCTTCACTTTTTTTTAAAGAAGGGTAATACTTTTTATTTTCTTTGCAGTGCACTGTATTTGTGCTGGAATTAAACCTGCTTTCTTCTTAAGTTATTTTTAATGGGAATATCTTATGATACTGTATTGAATGCAAACATCCAAATATGAGGGTCAGTAGGTAGGCTTATATTATATGCATCTGTGGTATAGCACAAATAGGGATTTCTTACATAGCTTGCAGAATCAGGGCCATTGGAAAAGTGAAATGAATGTGTTTAAACTCTATCCCTCAGTGAGCAGAGCTTCTTTTATGTGCAGAGTCACCGTATGTATGCCATTTGACATTGTTAATGTTGCACAGCCCGTTCCTGCCAGGTGCCTCTAAGATATTTGGGTGGAGCAGCATTGGGAAGTTCACCCTGCATTTCCACCCTCCCTCCCTCCCTCCCTCTCTCTCTCTCTCTCTCAAACTCTGCTTGTGCAGTATGTGATTACAATTGCAAATGAACCTCTCTTCCCCTTTGGGAAAACTAGGCTCCCACTAGTGAATCACTTCACTTTTACAGCAGCATCAGGCATGTGGTTTTGGAATAGTTGCCTCTTTTCTTCTTTCCTTTTTTTCCCCCTGAGGTGTTATGACAACACTTTTGGTGGAGAGAAGGGATAATGTCAAGCAAAGATGGGAATGCATTTGTAGCCATCTAAACCTGTTTGAACTTGTTGCCTTTGGTATAGCAAGTTAGTTGTTTAGATACTTGCTAATGCAACATATACAGAGATCTGCTTTACGGAAATAGTTCTTTCTCCTTTTTGTAGATCTCTCTCACACAGGCACAAATTTCTGCTATTTTTTATTCTTGGCAAAACAAAATATTCTCTTGGATAAAATTACTAAAACATAAGTATGTATGTGCGTGTCTTACACTCATAGCTATAGCATGCATTGGCATACTTCAGAAAGCTTTATGTTGGGATTGACTACAATTCACAGGCTTCACTGGTATCTCCATCAAGGAATTTATTAACCAGAATCTGAAATTAATCATGAGCAGCTTTTGCAAACTGCAAGCTTTCAGATTGACTTGATAGTTCTAAACAGTTATGATTGTGATCATGATGATGATATCTGAAATCATTGTTGTTAGGGTATCTTGGTCTTTGTTTTGCTCTATTAAAGCTTATCTGGGCAGGATATAGAGTTCTTTTGGGGGGTGGCTATGAAATGCACTCCCCCAGGAACTAAGGACCATCACAAACCTCACCACCTTCTGCTTTAAGTGTAAAGCACATTTCTTTGACCCTGCCTTTTCTAATACACAGATAACACTGTGTGTGTTTGCATGTACATGCAATTCAAAATAAAACACGCATTTCTCCCCCTGGGAAGAGGATGAGAGACGTGGGCAGTTGGTGCAGCTGGGGCTGGGGGAGGCAGGCCTATAGCCTTTCTTCTGCTGAGGCTCTGCCCCCACCATGGAGAGGGGAAGAGTGTGCATGCCCCAGAATCCCTGGAGCAGGGAGGGAGGCACCACATGGCTGGGGCCTCCCCGCCCCTGGGAGCAGCAGGAAGAGAGGTGGCCACATGGCCCAAGCTGACCCAAGCCTCCCAGAGCACCAGGGAGGGGGCAGCTACATGGCCCAAGCCACCCTGGAGCACAGGGAGGGTGGGCGCTACAGGGTAGCATCACTCCACCCCCCAGTATACCTACATCAGGCATTCTGGGGGCAGAGTATGCATGGGGCCAGGCTGGCAGTTTGGGAAGGCAGAGACTTTTCCCACCTAAACCACCAGATGCCCATGATGAAAGAACAAACCCTTGGCAGATGTTAGTTATACTATTTTATACGCTTTGGAATCATTCAAGTCCTACAGTGATGAGAGCAGTATAAGAATCTATATAGAGTAGATACTAGTCAATTTTAGATTATCTGTATTATTGTACTGCCCCAGGAGTCCTAGTGATGAACAAGGACTCCATTGTGGTAGGTACTGTACAAACACAGAACAAAGAGACATCCAAGAATAGACTTTAACCTAAGGTTTACCTCCGCCTTGCATAGGACTCTTTCAGGAAGTGACCTTTCAACCATTTGAAGAATCTGGAACTAGTCTTCCGGATGAGCATTTTTTTGGCCTGGCAGCCTTGCTAGTGTTTTGAAGGGATATTAATCTAAGGTTTTCCCTAGCCTGTTAGGCCCTGATCCTGCAATGAGGTCTGTGCTGGAGAAATTCAGAATGCTCCATGTGGATAAAGGGCTTCACTATGCATGGAGCTCAGTGCAGGATCAGTCAAATCGTTGTACAGGTTGGACCTCTCTAGTCCAGCACCCTCAAGGCCTGATGGGTGCTGAACCAGAGATTTTATCAAACCACAGGAGGTTAATATTATCTAGCTGCATTACCAACACTTCCACTGCTTACTGGATTCTTAGAAGGCATTTAGGGGTAAATTAGAATTATATCACAGCACAGAACACAGAGAGCCAGGACTGGTGGCTGTAAACAAACTTCATGGGACTGTGGCCACACCACATGACAAGTGGTCATCCGGCTAACTAAAATCATGCCGGGCCACAGATATTGCTGTACTAGAAAGTGCCAGACACTTCAAAGTAAACCTACAGCCCAGTGTGTTCGTTCTCTCACACGAA